TTGGACAGGCACACAGACCAATGCAAGCCGTTAATTCAGGACAATCCAATACGGAGTTAACCACGTCATAATAGAAACTTCATGTCAGACAACAGACGTCTAACTTCGAGAGAATCTAGCTGATAGAAGTTAAATCTGTCGAAGTAACCATCTTCCCTTTTGAGGCGGTAGTGCAATCTACGTGTGAAACAACGCTGCACGGATTCTAACTGGGCTATATGAGTCACATAAGACGGAGACCATATAGGGGCTGCGTACTCCATCACGCTCCTGACATAAGCAAAATACAGCTTTTTTAAAGATTCAATTCTACGAAAAGATTTAGCACTTCTATGAAGAAATCCTAGCATTCTGTAAGATTTCTGAGCAATGAAGTCGAAATGCGATGTATACAAAAGCTTATAATCTAGTATTACACCCAGATCGCGGACGAGTTCGACTCTAGGAATACAGGTATCATTGAGATAGTATTTGTGAAAAAGAAAAATACGCTTCCGGGTGAACGTGATAACTTGGCATTTTTTGACATTCAGATCAAGACGATTCAGTCTACAATAGTCCGTTAATCTGTCGAGGTCCGCCTGAAGCCCTTCGCAATCAGCTGCACAACCAATTGGCAGCCTTAAGCAGCTTTTAAACAAATATACATAGGTATAGTTGGCGTCTTTTATTCCAGTGCGACATATGTTTAAGTTTGTGAAATTTGACTAGTCAGGTAAAAGGTGCCAATGCCAATGAGTCGATTAAAATCGCAAAAAAAGGTCCGCTGTTTTCATTCGTAATTATGAATATTAGGTACTGTTAGAGCCAACATTCTACACGGTAACGAGCACGTGAACCCTGACACTTAAGTTGAACCCTATGCTGTTCACGATAAAAACTGTTCAAATGCACAAACTTGATGAGCCTCACCTGTTTACGTATAAGGATTTTTAAGATTGAAACGAGAACAAACTAACAATACCATTTATTTGGTTATACAGGTTTTTACACATAGCAACAATCATATTTTGGAATAATTTTTACTAATTTTATATTATGTCGAAACGGTACAATGCGTCTAAACACTAATTTTTTCAAATACTATATATATTTTTTTATATAGGTACTACTCAATATATACTGGAAAAGTGTATTGAACACAAAATATTGTTTTTAATTATTAATGGAAGACTTTGGAAGACTCCGTTTCTCACTTTGACATTGAAAATATATTTTCATAATAGATAAACTATGAACGTTTTTATTTCGCCTTATATATTATGGAAGAACTATGATTTTTATTGTATTTGACCAAATTCTTGGAGAATTTGCGACTAAAGCACTTTATTATCCTAGACATTTACTTTCGTGACACTTTAATAAAATAAAAACGCCATCTATGGTTTGAAACTCCTTTAAATTGGCACTACCTGTGAATTTGATCAAATTTATAGATAACGCTAACATTAATTATGTTAAAGTGACACGAAAACACAAGAAATCTGCAATAATAGCAACACCACAAGATTTAACCGACAGACATACACACACTACTTATTTACACTTATTAATTTGTAATTTGACAGATAGTTTTTCAATTTTTTTCATATCTATTTCAATATCAAAATAATAAATCTGGCTTTTAGCCAATAAAATAACGGCGTGCTAAATTTTGTTGGCAAATATCAAGAAATTAAAAATAAGCCTATTTAAAAATAACGCTATTATTTTCATTCGGGCTCACTGATAGCCATAATTTCTCGCAAATTAAGTTTCTTTTAAGTCTGCTACCTACAGATATTTACGGCCCTCGACAATTATTTAATGAAGTACATTTTGAAAATAAAGCTACGCCATCCGGTAGTATTGCAAAACAAAAAACTAGATGGCGTTAACATTTTGTTACTAATTTTCAGTAATAATTTAAAAGCGATAATAACTAATAAAGTAACTATTGAAGTTATTACAATATTAAACCAACTTCATAGAAAGAAGGTTATACTTTTAATAATCTACTTTTCCTATTGTCATTGTCACATTTCAATTTATTTATACATTAACTATAATAGAGTACTTAAGTATTAAAAATATTGAAAATATCAGAATGAAAAAGTTGTAAAATATGAAATTATATTTAGTTTCTTAAAAAGGTTCAATCCCATTCGATTGATACATTTATACTAATTTGTAAGATTGACATAGGTATGTAATAGAAATAGTATGTAGCCAAGGAATTACCATAAATATGTACAATAAACAGAATTGAATCTTATACAATACACACACTTTATAAAAATTATAATTTAAATATAACGTTAAATAAAAAATAAATACAAATTTCTTAAAACTACTGGCGAATGACGTCAATGCGAAGTATCAATATTTATTGCGTTTATACACAATAATTTATCTTACAAGTTTTATCAATATTTATAATTAAAATAATACATGCAAAAAATAGTTTTAAAAATATATACGAGCATTTTTGGAATTTTCACTAACATAAATAAGATTTTATTTAACGTCATAACTAAAGTAAGAAATTGAACATTATATTTTATACTAACATTTTTTCGCAGAATGTTTTTACACAAGCTCGTTACGGCACTACATAACATGTAACATATATTTTTAATTGGCAAAACGGGAGATATGTTGTGTGATTTAATACGTATTTTCTACTATATAAATATATTTACTACTTAAATGTTAATGGAAGTGTTATATAGTCATCTTATATACTAGGTGTAATAACATAAATAATATAAAAATGTTCAAAAATTTTATATTGTGGAATAATTTATTTAAAACTATTATTGACTTGTAAATTATAATTTCAAAAGAATTAATAATTTAAATAACATATATCTTACTTAATATTTTAAAATAATAAATAAATGCGTGTCTATTTTTAAACAGTTAAAGTGACTATTAAACGCTGTGCGTTTTATTTACCTTACACTACAATTAGTATACCTTTCTACGACAACTTACAACAATAACATTTATTTTATTACACTTTCCCCTTACACAAGCAAAGCTTTTAGAATTTAGACATTTAGAAAATACTATTTTAAAAATATATTTTATAGGCAAGTATATTTCATTTCTATTAGCTTTGATTTTTCAAAAATAATTTTATTTAAAAACAATATATATTTTTTCATTTACACGATTTTGAAATTCTTACTGTCAATATAAATATATAGCAAATGTAGAAATTTGGACAAAGCGAAATCGCAAATAAATTGCACATTTAGGCCTTTTCATGGAACTTTCATAGGCTTTGTACCTATAATATATATTTATATATATATATTTGTCGGGCTCTATGACCCTAATATACTAAATCATCCCTAATATTCAATCATTTGGAAATATATTTTCATTGTCAACAACATTCAGATTTAAAAGGACATTTAGATTAATAACAATTTAATAATTATATAAATATACTCTTACGTTTAACAAAAAGTATTTGTCAGTTTTCCTTCGATATTAATCTCTTTCCAGTTAGTCTTGTTTTCAAAAAGAAACACCCAGTTCACGAATACTTGAGAATATTATATACGAAAGTCGATTTGTAACTTCGAGTAACAACAATATGCATTTTTAAAGTTTAAAACATAGTTACATATACTAATATTATGTATATATAGTCAGCGATATAGTATAATGTATATTTATAATTTAGATCCCTCAGAAATAATGCAATTATAATAATTTATCGTGTCATTCAAGTAAAGGACTAGTTCTAACTTTTGACTTTCGTATATAAATAAGATGTATAATTCAGTTTAAGTTAGACGCTACGTAGATTAGAATTGTTATACTTAAAGCATACACCTAGTTGTGCAACTCACTCAACGCTTTAACAGTCACACGTCAAATTTTCCATCGGATATATTTCGGAGAAATTTTATAATTGAATACCACCCTCACCCTAATGTCTTTGAACTACCGTGCTTCCGAAAGCTGCAATTTAGGGCATATAAACTAGACAAACGTGCCACATCGTAGCCTAACATAGGGTAAGATGTGGCCAAGCCTTCCTCTATTTTTACATTAAAAGAAGACCAAAACGTCTCATTTCTACTTATTAAAGATTTCGTACATAAGATGTAAATGATTGAAATTTATTTTGTTATATAATAAAATTGTGCCCGAGATCTAAATCTGTGTTTTGTCAATTCGAATTTTTACACAAATAGCACAATAAGCACAATAGTTACACAAATAGGTTGGGAGAGTGAACTCTAAACATCTACACGCATTCACGCATTACATTCAAGTTATTGTTCAAAATTAAGCGATTCGACTATCTGTGCACCCAATACATAACTTTAAGGGGCTCCCATACTGATGGTCAAGATGTTTTACAGACATCTTTTATCATCCTGTATGGCGATGGATTTTTTAACATATCACATGCCACATTCCACACACACCAGTGACTAGGATATACTGAGTCCATACCTGTGTTACGTGGCGTGTCAAAACTCCGTACCATGTCACCCGTCACCGACGCACATCATTTAGCCCTGTGTCGGATGGGACTCAAGTAACATTTTATGTAACAAACCAGCGATCACTCTCATTCTGAGAGGACTTTGTCAGCTACGAGTGTAACGACGACGTCTGCTACACCGATAGCGCCAACCGCTTTATCTCACAATTAAATATCAATTCCTATTTGCTAGAAAACTTTCGTTCATTATAAACTTTATATTCGGCAAATATACACGCCTCGAGTCTACACTAAAATAAATATTGAATAATTTATACTGATGCGTTTTTTATGGTTAATTAATAACAAGTATAGTTTTTTTTTTAATATCAGTGATAATTGTTTTATAAAAAAATTTCTTCAATACATATTTTTGTAATGTAAATTATTAGTGTAAGATAGAAGATAGACTTTTATAAGGCGCGAAAACATTTCACTAACGAACTATATAGTAACAAAGTATATAATTATTCCATATTGAAGAGTAAATAGAAAAATAAATAAATTATTAAAAATAGACAACGGTAATAATAACATTTGAATTAAAAATATACTATATATAAAAACATAAATGGGAAGAAATAATTTATATTTTTCAATTAAAAGAGAAAATTTGTAATTTTTTAAATTAAAATCGATAACCAAATAAAGTCCTTTTCGATAAATCAAACATCTACAACGTGAATAGTTTATCAACTAAACGTTAATTATGAATACTTTTGTCATATCGACTCGTAGTCGTTTCAACTATAAACTGTCATATTTTTGTTAGCCCCTCTCTCGCGTTAAAATATTATGAAATCTGAAAGCAACAATATCAAGCCTTATACTACACACTGCCGACAAACCGTGTTGGGCAAAAGTTATTGCTTCTACAACTTACATTTCGTTGCCAAAACTTTATCAATAGTTTCTAGTTAAACCAACGGCAGTGTTAGGCTGAATGTAGTTAAACTAGAAACTATAACAATGTACGCATAATGTAATCTTTTGCAATTTTTTAAATAAATTTAAATGCCTTTTGGCACTTCCTTACACCACAATAGTGCTTGCCATTACAGTGTATGCTATCGATGCGATAAGAAGAACAATTGTATATACATTTTACCCAACAACGCTGGCATTCAGTTTACTATTGATTGTGAGATTGTGTGATTTCTGTTGTCCTAACCAACTACATTATCAGTGGTACAATGTCAATGCCTGAAAAGGTATCAGACTTTGTATTGCGTACCCTATTGATATTTGGGCATTTAATTGAGCCGTTGACAGAGTGATAATCGAAACGTTTAGCTGACCGGACGTTTAATTTCCTGTCAAAATTATATTTATAGTCATTTCTATTTACTACATTAGATACCTTTGTCATTGTTTGATAGGAATGAGTCATCATGATCATTTTCAACTTAATAATGTATAATGACAGCGTCCAGCCACTACAAGTCTATCGATTTGTCGATTTAGTTTAGTTGACGACGATGTCGTGCCCGAGACGGTCGAACTCCGCGAGCAAGAAGTCCACATCTCGTTCAGTGACTGCGGCTGAAGAGATGATATTGCGGAAGAAGTTGGGACGCCGGTCGTCCGGCTGGTAGCCCACCATGATCGTGCCCGCCTGCATCATGCGCCCTTTCAGAACGGCACACACCTGGGGAATCAAAGTTTTTGTTGGTTCTGCTGGAAACCACAACTGAATAACCATAGAAATCACTCGGTGAAAGACGTACCTTGCCGAGTTTGAGTTCCTTATTCGCGTCATGTGGAGTACCGCGCAGTTGACGCGGCAGGTACCAGAAGGAGACATTGACCATCTCCGGCTCCAGGATGAGATGGAACTTGTCTGATTGCTCTTTGATGCGCCGCACCATGTACTCCGTTAGCTCCATCAGGCGATCCATGTGGCGTTCAAAGCCTGTTGTTCCCTGCATCACATTCACTCATTGTACATTCGCATGATATTTTCTTCTATCAATTTACTTAGAATTCCAGTTTTACAATGCAACTACTTTATCGGATCTCTTTTTATGATACCAAGTTACAGGACGAACAACTCGTGTGGCTGGTGGTAAGTATCACGCCTGTCTATGACAGTTGCAGTGTCACTTCGAACTTTAAATCGCTAAGTCCCGAGGAGCACTGCTACTGCGTTCGTCACCCTACGACATAAAGTAGGCAAGCCTCAAGTGCTTGTAGTTTCCCTAGCAACCTTGCTATTCAAAACCGGAATGCAGTGTTGCGTATATTTGTTTTTTCAAACAACCAAACGCCTTGGGATTTTTACAGGTCCCATGTTTACGGCTGAATCAGCTAATGTCATGGCTGATGTGAGCCGTGGCCATGGGACCTGTAAATGTTGCTTTGTTGATTTAGATCAGAAAAATAGTTTAATTTCCTATGTGTAAGAATCGTGAAAACCTAAGAACTCGATTATGACTGACCTTGCCACGCCACTGCAGCCACAACTTGAAGATGTCGTTGTGGCGGCCACATTGAATCACCTTGTCGCCGGTGTCGTACTTGGGGTCGTAAATTTTGTCCGTCATGAATAGATACTCAGCGGCCATTTCGTTGCAATTCAACAGGATGCCCTGAGGACAAGTAATTATTATTTCGTTTTAATACTAAGAATATGTTCCATAATAGCAGAGATCGCCATATTGGTGAGCGAATGCTGACCTCCTTGGCACACCGAAAGATATTTGCCCGGATTGGAAACCAAAGCTCAACCATATAAATGCCACAGTTGAGCATTGGACATCTAGGTAATAAAGAGTTAATCGAAAATAAACACCGGCAAAATATTGTATTGTTTGTTGTGATATGCAAAGCGAAGTGATAATTTCAATATGGAAGGGTTGCGTATCTGTTCGGAGCAGATGTTTGCGGATTGACCGCATTTTAATGCATATTGATGAGGATTAGACGGGTTGATTTATTTTGCCACACAATAATAATTCGACCGATAATAATATGTAATACTATGATCTGGCGCTCGAGATCACCGACACTTTCGCAGAAAAAGAAAGCGGTGGAGAGGCTGTCGAAGAGTATAAAAAATACGTTTCAGAGATTGTCACGGAGGAGTGGCATAAATGTTTTCAAAATTGGTTCATTCGTATCAAAAAGTGCATTAACGCAGTATTTTTTTGTCATTCATTCCGGAAAGTTATAGTGCACCTCACGTATCTATTTTAGATGCCCTATACCATGGCTTAAAATAAATATATTTTATTAATATTACTTACATATTTATAAAATAGTTTTGTTTCATTTTATTTTTTAACGCACACACTCAACATATCCCCGCACTAGGGAAAACCCTGTGTCGCGGGTGCCATGGACACACGCATAGACAACCACACATTACACCCAAACTCACGAGAGAAATAAATGTAGGCCATACAAATATTTCTCCGGCAACCGTTCAGCCACGAAGGCAGTCCAATTAAAGTTACTGTTATTTCAACTCGTTTACGATTTTATTATGCATGATAAACCAAAAAATAAAATTATTTATAGATGCAGGCGTAATAATGCGGAAATGTATGTTAGTAAAAATGAAAATAAATTTCTTTAAAATTTTAACTTTTGCTAGATTTGGCAAAATAACTAACACTTCTTTGAACAATGCAAAGCAACGTTCACTGTAATTTACAAGTACCTACACAAGCTCATCTCCTGTATGGGTAACTGTTGCTAACGCAACAGAATTTTTGTAATAAAATTTAATATAACTTAGGAAATGAAACTATTTTTCCGGATTTAAATCGTGTATATTTGTTTTTTCAAACAAACCGACGTTTCGGGCTTTTTACAGGTCCCATGGTCACACGATGTTTGAAAAAACAAATATACGTTATTTAAATCCGGAAAAATAGTTTCATTTTCTATGTGTAACAATCGCGAAAACCTAAGAATTTAATGTAACTTTCAAAACAGTAACTAGACGCTCGTCAACATTACGTAGGCGTCTATTTTGAACCAGCCAACTAACACCACATACATGCTATTTCATTCCTACCACAATTTAACGAACTTTTGTATGAACCCAAAAAGGTCAAGAAGGACGTTCACTTTTGAACTGTACTTCTATAAGAAACCACCAATGTGATAAAACTTTCATAGATTGCGCTACGACTAAAAAGTCGTTCAAAAAACCAAATACAAAGATACGACGCAAGCACATAGAAAAATTCGTGAGCTCCGTTGGTTCGTTCCGTGGCTTAGTTGGTATAGCGTCTGACACGATAAGCTAGAAGACGTCGGTTCGAATCCGGCCGGATCGAAGGATTTTTTCTGAGTGTTCGATCTTTGTATTAATAATTATAACAAACCACCACTGTTTAGCGATTAATTTTATCTATTTATTTTTATTTATTTATTTATTTATTTATATCAGGTAACAAAGACCCATGTATACATACCTTATAGACTAACATACATAACAATATAAAAACAAAATACACCTATATTATATATACCTTAAAACAAACATACATACAATATAATAATAAAAACTAATCTACACGTTTTCCCTTATCGGCGACGTGTGGCGCAATCTGGTGTCAGGTAACCGGCCGCGGAATCGCCGATATATGACACCCTTCGGCCAAAATTCCTCTTTCATGAAGGTCGAAAGATGTTCGGTCGGTATTCTCACCACAAACGAATTAAAGTTCACGTTGCGGCGAGACTCCAACCGCTCGACCCTCAGGGTGTATTTGGTTTTATGCCTGATATACTCCACTATCTCCTCAGACTTCGTGGAGTAAAGCAGCCGCGACAGGTAGATCAACGTCGTCGGTACGGCCGGACGCAGCAGGAAGTTCGGTCCCGTCGGAGCTGTGCCACACTGGTTACGGCTGGTGGGCTTCCTCTTCACCACCTTTGTGAAGCCATCCTCGTCGCACTGGACCGTCTGCCTCTGTGGTTTTGCAACTTCAGAGACAGGCACACGGAAATTGTTTTTATCCTTAGCCGATTGCCGCTGCTCGAATTTCGAAGTGGCGGGTCGGCTAGTTGAAGCGGCTACAGCGGCGTATGCACGTGTCGGGGTTGACGTGCACATGCGTGACATTTCCACCTTCCATTAATGGCACTGCACTCCCGTAAACCAGCAACCCACTGCCAATATATTACAGTCAACTCAAATCGTCTTTTACTTTGACGAGCTCGTCGAGATCCTCATCCTCCAAGTGGAAACTTGGCTCGGGCAGCTACAATAACCTTAGTTACTTTTTATGACAATAGCAAAAATTATCTATGAAGTGGTTCTACTTGTTACCAAGCATTAACACAAATACTCTGACAAGATAGGGATATGTTTATTCTTTGTACATATAAGAGGGGATGTTTGTAGAACTTAGGGGATGAATGGTTGTAGGGGATGTCGAATATTTGCTGAATATTTGTACGGGAAATGTCGGTATTTGTGGTATGCGGGCCGTTTCAACCGTTGAGATATTGCAGGGGGTTGCTTTTGAGTGGGAGCAGGTTTAAAGGTAGTAAGATGTATTTTTAGATGTTTTTTTATGGAATGTGTGTTATATTAATATATTTAAATAGATTAGTGGTGTGAGTAGGACCTAGTTATAGATTGCGCTCGTATCTTTACCCTAATTGAGAAGTGTTTTGTACCTAAAATAAATAACGCACACACTCGTACACACACGCACACACTCGTACACACACGCACACACGCCATGGACACACACATAGACAACCACAAATTACACCCGAACTCGCCAGAGAAATAGATGTAGGCCCTTCAAATATTTTTCTCATTATTATAAATAAATAAATATAATATAAATAAATAAATAAGCGACTAAATGATAAATCCGAGGCATTAACAGCAGCAGCATTTCCCTGTGTAGGTATTGATTAGAATTTACCAGGAATCAAACTAGAGATCTTTTAATGATTATCCAGAATTCCAAATGACAAGCACAGGACCTTTTGTAACAGCAACAGCACACTTCATAAAAAAAAATTATTATAAATATGGAAGGATTTTTTAACTAGTTTAAGACTAGTTTTTAAATTTTATTGTTGTATAGAAGTTTTTTCAAAGTGTACACTTGGAAGTAATAAACACTTATGGCGTATACGGCACACAGCTGGGCACGGGTCTCCTGCATTATTTACATCGACACGTTATTATACTCAGAGCTGTCAAGCGCAATATGCTAAGTGATAAATTCTGTAACTCCGCCCCCTTTGGCCAAAGTTTCCGTCACTAGAGATGGGGATGTGCAATGTATACAAAACATCGATAAGATTAAACAAAACAATACTTGTAAACGGTGCCAAAAAATTAACAAAACGTGCTATTCTAGCTGCAAGTAATTTTCACCATACAATCTTAGGGTTGTGGAAACCTTTAGTAGTGTAAATAATTTTATGATATTTATACGCTATTAGCATAGTTATTATATGATATTATAGACTATTATAAAATTTTGATTTACGAATACTTTTGTATGGACCAGCTTCAGTCTGAAATAAAATTATTTTGATTATTAATACAAAGATCGAATACTCAGAAATAAATCATTCGAACCGACGTCTTCTAGCATACCACACCAGACGCTATACTAGAACCAGCGGACCTCACGAATTTTTCTATGTGCTTGTTGTCGTGTCTTTGTATTTGGTTTTTCAACGACTTTTTAGTCGTAGCGCCATCTATGAGAAATCTATGAAAGATTTATCACTCAGTTAGATACCTTTATAGCTACCGGCCCTGGCGAGAGATATCGCTATTCACAGTATTTTAAATTTTTATTGAATTGATATTCAATTATTTTTTGTGAAATTACTCCACTAGTTAGTTATAATTATTAATACAAAGATCGAATATTCACGCGTCTGTCACGGTATGCTAGAAGATGTCGGTTCGAATCCGGCCGGATCGAAAGAATTTTTTTGATTATTCGATCTTTGTATTAATAATTATAAGTAGTGGAGTAATTTAATTTAATAATAATAATATAATAATTTAATTTAATGTTTTTTTCTGTAGAATTGCTCCACTAGTTTGTTATAATTATTAGTACAATTATCGAACACTTAGAAAAAAATCCTTCGACCCGACGACGTCTTCTATTTTAATTTTATTTATTTAATTACAGTTTTACTTAGAAGCGGAGATTACGAATAGCCCGGCCTTTTCTTTTGTTGATCCTTTTCTTGTAAAATACTATTTGTTTGTACTACTTTGCGGCACCAACGCGCCAATAAGGAGTGTCTTTAGGGGTGGAATATTTTCTTCAAATTTGAACATGACCACGGTACCCCCTTTCCAATAAAAAAAGAATAAGCGAAATCGATTTACCAATGTCGGAGTACCAGCGTTACATACACATAAAAACACAGTCGAATTGCGAGCCTCATTCTTATTTTGAAGTCGGTTAAAAACATGTTTAAAAATCGACAGATTTAATCTCAAACACCTACCAAAGGTGTCATCTCTATTCGCAACTGGCGGCACGAGCGTTTAATTAAATTCCACAGACACTTCGCAACATATGTTGCCACTTCACACCCCTTGTCACCCTCAATGCTAACACACCCTATTATCAACCCTAAAGCCTTGGCGTTACGATTTAATTTGCTTTTAACGATGATAGATGGTAAACTATTAATATTAAAGAGTGTACAAAATGAACCTTATGCTTTTGTAACAAAAATAAAAGTTAAAGTTACTTCGTTTCAAACGAGGAATTTCCCTGCGCTTGGTCCTACCGGGAAACGAACCCGGGATCTCCTTACCAAGCTCCCACCGTTGCACAACATTGGGCCATCGAGATTGGCGAAGTAAAAGTATCAAATGTTGCCTTAAAGGATAAAAAAGATAGTAATAATAATAATAAAATCGTTTATTTATCTCCACACATTAATAGTAAAAAAATAAATAATATAAACCTGCAACCAGGGTGTAGTACAATAGTGGTGTGAGATAAAAAGGTCTGTAACTCAGCACAAGGCGGAGTGTTTGCAGCACAACGCCGCTGATATTCTGCCTGTCACGTTCATAAAAAGACGAAGAACACACAACACACATTATCATTCTAGTTCTGGGTAATTTTCAAGTAAGTTTTTTGTACTCAATTTTGGTGACAATTGCTTTTTCTTTAAATTTTAAAAATTACTGTTCTAAGATTTCAAGCCGATTATTAGATACTTACTACACACATGAATCGTTATTTAGATTATTTCATTACTATTACACACAGAGCACTATCACACAACTTACTACACTACAATGCCTACCTCCAAGGTTTGCCTGGACAATAACCTATTAAAATTTTCTTACGGAAAGTACGTAATGACAAAATAGTAGCAGTAGAGCTGGTTGTGGAAGAGTTCGTCCAGGGAAGTACTGCCACCTTACCTATTTCTGCCGCCAAAAGTAATGTGAGCATTACTGTGTTTCGGTTCGAAAGGGTAAGGGACGTCTCAGGGTGACGGGCGCAGTGGCAGTGCCCCTCCCATCTTTGCGGTTTGAAACTCTGAGGTGAAACACTGCAACTGTTATGGACAGGCGTGTCGCTTACCACCAGGCCCACGACTTGTTCATCCCGTCACTTGGTATTATAAAAGAAACCAAAAATTTTAGAATTATTCTAGTAGACAGATATCTTTAACATTTCTTTTTCACTGACTTCGTTGAGAACTTGCCAAATTAGCATCACTATACACATGGCAACGTTACATGGCCAAGTATGTATTTATGCTATTGCGTGGCTGGGTATCCAGCCCACCAGGGTTGCAGTTGCTGGGGCTGTGTGTGCACCGGACCAATACGTGTGGCGGCGGCGACAGCGGTAACGCAAACAGAGGGTTTTTGATTACTGCGAGCGCGCACGAACTTGTTAAAAGAAGCACCCTTTACCCGAACGTTGCGTAACGTAAATGTTATCACTAATTTCGTGGATGTATTCTGTTGTTCATTGAACGAATTCGTAAAACCGGCTTTGTGGGTTTTGTGTTACCATAATAATAATAATAATTTTTAAGTAGTTATTAAGTTTGCTATTATTTAAATTAGGTAAAGCTTGTCGTCGACACTCTCGCATTAGGTGCAAGCTGTAATGATAGCTGTAAGTTGGAAATAAATAAATATTTAACAAAGTGTCATGTCTAATTAAAAATGTGACTACAGACAGGTGTTCAACCTACCATCTACGAGTACCTGTCACGTTTAAAGTCCGTTAGTCAATACAACACTCACAAGAAATAGATACTTCGTTTTTATTGTGAATACAACCACACGGCGAGATTATCTTATTTGCAACAAGGAATTAGACATTCAAGTGGTATAAAATATAAGGGTTATTAGAAACAGACGCCCTTTTGCGTTTGGCGGCAGGCGCTGCGGGAGTCGGAGGGTATGCGAAGAGGCTAATTGCGGATTTAGCTCTTTTATATTGGATATTAATTGTCGCTGTTTATGTTGGGGATATCATCATTAACTCACTGTTAGTCATACTGCTGAGCACGAATCTCTTTTAAGGAGAGAGTTTATGGCATAATCTTTCACATTGACTCAATGCTGAGGCCTTCACAAGTTTTCTAAAGGCTGTGATTCTCTTTGACGTACATGTTTCAACGCGATGTTTTCCTACAGTATCAGCTAGAGGTGGTACTTAGAATAATAAGTAATAAAGTATTAGACCAGCCACATCAATTACTTGGTTTGAAACTATTGAGTAACAGAGCACCTGTTAACTGCTGGGCAATACCCAGAACACCCAGATCTGTACCAATTAGTGTTGCCCAAAATCAGTCTTGGTCTTGGTCTTGTATTTTTTCCAGTACATTATTATTATTATTATTATTACAATTCTTATGTACCTTAAGCAATGTAGAAAAGTTCATTTCTGGTATTCATCCAATCGGGAATCAAATCGGGGAACTTCTCATCTAGCGTAATTGAAATCGTCAAAACTGCATAGCTGACACCGGGGCACAGATTACTTAAAAGTTACTAGGTGCGTAACAGATAGGTACATCACTCATACAAAATCGAAAGTACCTATGCTATTATAGCCTACCAAATCTGACTAATGACACCAGCTCACTACGAGCAAATAGGAATCTAAGAACATGTTCAGAGAGGTGAAAAAACGTTGCCCGGAATGTGCAGTCGTGCGTAGCCGAATGCTAATAAGTAAAAGAATTGTATGCCTGCACCGATGTCGGCCGTATGGCGTAACCTTGAGCGAATGATGGAGCCTTGACCTGGGTTGGAATCGTCGATCATTCTGTAGCCTGTATGTAAGTATGTATCACACTTTTCTCATCCTCGACTTGTCTGAGAGCGCTGTTGGTGTCCTTGTACAAGTTTATCATTTGTTGACGTGTTGGAAACTGTTCCAGTTATATAGATTTTAAGACTTTCGTGGTTATTCACTAAATGATTATCACTAGTATCAGGTTTCTTACCACGGTATGACTTCTTTTTATTTTCCCGATATTCCAGTTAGCTTCACAGACTTAAGTCAATGTATGTGCACAAAGAATTTTCCACGCATTTTTATGTTCCTTTGTTATAAAACGCACATAAGACATTTTGACATTTAAGCAGAATAAATTTACCAGAGGAATGCACGTTCTTTGAAAATTATGTATGAAGAGTGATCATGGAACGAACCAACCTAAAAATAATGAAAGAAAAGATTATAACGATAACGATTAAAAATGTTAAAATTGACCAGGAACCAGTAAAGAGGGTGATAAAAATGTGGGATGCCGGTGAAGGAGGTCGCATCGTCACAACCCCATTGGGAAACGACCGTTCTTGCAACGGGCAACAACCAATTTTCATAACACAGAATTTACTATATAGATTCATCGTCAAAAAAACCACCGACTGAAAATAGTATATTGTACTGTAAGTATTCGAGAAGTTGTGTAGTCTGCAGACTACTGGTTGCAGCATCAGATTAAGGTTACCTTGTATTGTGTTCATGTTATAGGATTTTCATAATTGAGAGACATAGCGTGGCGCGTGGGGGCAGAAATCGACGCTACGCCACTGCGTACACAATGTACAACAAATTTCTAGTCGACCGGACAAGTGGAAGTAAAAGAAATTTTCATTTCGTGACCGAGATCCCCACTAACTGGGAAAAGAGCTTCAGCATCATATTCAAGTATGTTATCGTGTAATTATGAAATAATATTTCACGATACAAAAACCGAATACTTAAATAATAAAAGTTGCCACGGAAATTAGGTAGTAAACACTAGTCCGAGAATGGCCGATCTAAGAACCATTCTGATTCAATTAGTCTTCAAATAAAAAAAAAACCGCTTCGAGGTCAAGTCGTCCGATTGGGAGAATACCACTGAAAGACGCCCAGATACATAGACAAGGGCTTTACACTTATATATAACTCCCCGCTTTTTGCGTCGTGGTTTACAAAAAGGGTCTAAACGTTTGTGTATTATAGGTTAAAGTCTCACCTCGTACTTGAAGTGCACGGTGGAGCACTGCAGCAGCGTGCCCATTAGCTTATGAGGGTTCCAGGTCACGGAGTCAGCCCTGGAAACAAGCACAGGAATTCTCAACATTGTACAGTCGTCGAGCCGGTTTCGAAATGCTACTATGCAATAAAAGCGAAAAAAATAACGGAATTTTAATCGGAAATTTCTAGCTGTAGTTTAAAAAAGTCACAAAACTTTCCCTAAAATAATTATTGGCCACTTTCACGATTTTACAAAGCTTAACTTTTACAAAAATGTGACGACGGGATTACGGCACTAATGTCTCTGCTCCTGGCCAACGCGTGTTGCGTGAGAGGTGGTAAATCAGCTAACAGACTGGCCACGCGGCTGCATTTAGTTTTATTACAATATACATGCTTAGTTGTCATATTCAAGGGAAGAAAATCAGGGTATAACAACATTCGCGATGAATCTCAGGTGTTCAGCAGTTAAGAGCAATTATGAAACCAAAAACAAGCCCCGTTTGGAACTATTTCGTTGAAATCATTATTGTATTACAATTCTGTTTCTGCATCCGCTGTTTCCGCCAAGATTTACTTTTGGTATCTCTTTCTGTTATTACACTTATTTTGCATCACAAAAAAGTTGACCTCGCCCCGGTCACGTTTTCTGAACCGACGACGCTCTAATTTAATCTAAACACTCAGTATGAAATTATTCAAATTAGCTTCGAAACCAATAAAATGTCGGTGAGTGGAAAATTAGAAGCAATTGTTTGTAAACTTTTGTCTCGGGGACGGGGTGTGGGCTTTCACCGATGGTCCTACTCATTTACATTCGCCAGGGGTTGTAATTGATGGTGTTTGACTGTGGCTTTGACACTTTATGGAGAATAATGTGGGTGAATTGATTGCATTAATCTTATTTTTAACCGACTTTGTGGAAAAGAATAAAATTCTTTATTTGTTGGTCTTATAATGAGGAGAAATCCGACGATGGCCGTTATCGTATGTCATTATCCCTTGATATAATATTTTAATTACTAACACCAAATGGAACTCTAAGAAAAATGTCTTCGATTCGGCTGGAGCCCCGCAGATGCCAGAAAAACTCACGTCATATGTTTACCAAATCAGTTTTAAAGAGACATAAAGTGCTCGTATGTAAATGCAAGTAAGCCAAAGTGAAGTTTAAGTTATCTCATATTGACTCAGCCGCTGCCGCGTCGGCTTAGTTCAAACCCCGCTTTTCAACTTAGGGGAGGAAAGAATTTTTTGAATTTCCCTTTGCTTACACCGACCTGTAAGTTTTACGAGCAAATGGAATCAAGTAGCGAACGTTTTAACTAGACTCTATAACGTTTAAGATAAGAACGTTACAAAGTCCAAACGGTAAAAAACTAGTGATGACAAGTGACCTTAAACTACTGACTAGTGACCTTAAATTGCACTAATAAATAATTTTGTTATGCTTACTGCTATGCGGTATAGTACCTCACTATAGATTCTGCCGTTTCTACACACTCTTCAAGAAAGAGTGAAGATGTCATCGCCGCTAATGCAAGTGTCAATTATTAGTGAAATAATTATATTTTTAAGAATAGCAGCCTAGTGGTTCAAGGTTCGATTTGCACAGAGGAGCTTGCACCATGGAATATTTTTTAATCAAGTGCAGTTTACAAGGAAAATAACAAGCTAAAACGGGAAACAAGACTTTTTATTACACTGATTCTTATATAACAGTGCGGTGTGATAGTGAGCGCGTTCAAAACACAGCGTTGATAAATTATTCCGTTTGACAGAGACAGCCAGGGCGGTGCGTTTTTTTATCTTTTTTCGCGAGAGCCATTAATTGCACGACTCTGAACATTTTGGCTGTTGGGGGTGTACAGTGCTAAGGTCCGTGTACCTTTATTTCATCCCGCTGGCCTGATTTCGAATTAGTTCAAAAACCGCTTTTCAACAAAGGAGAGGCAAGGTTTGTAGCTCCGAATTTAACATGAGCTTTTTAAAAATTCGCCGTCATCATTATTTCAGCCGAAAGATGGACATGTGCTTTCCCAAGAATCGCCACGGAGACCAGTCTTGTGCTGCTCCAATCCATCCATCCAAAAAAATGCTATCAGTGGAAAATACATTGTCAAAGTCAATGTCAAATAATCTTTATATCATAGGTACGCAAATTACACTTCAAGTCAATATGTACTGATTAAACTCTATCGCTCAATCGTAAGCCAGGTTCCCTTGAAAAGAATGAGCCAGAAACTCTAAGAGATGCTCTTTGTAAATATACATCTGAATACACTTATCATTTCAATATTTCATTTAAACATCTTAGATCGAGATTACCTGCAAGAGCTAAACCGGACACTACCACGGATTTTTGTCATCCACGTACGCAGAAGTTATATAATAACTTAACTAAATTAATATATAAATACAACACAACGATGGTGTGTGGTTCCTGGTCTCGATGCAGTAATTATCTTATCCAATAGGTGGTGAAAAAGCTACTAAAGCACATCCATAACGCATACAAGAGGTTCTTTGCGATCACCAGACGTATAACAAAATTATGGCTACTTTTTTGGAGATATCTGTATATTCAGAATTTTTAGGCTGATATGGATATTTTTTTAATGCAAATTTTCAGCAAAGAATTTTGAGATTAAACTATTTTTTCGGATGTAAATTGCGTCATTTGTTTTTTCAAACACACCAATGTTTGGCCAGCCGTTACCATGAGACGTGTAAAGGACCCGAAATGTTGGTTTATTTGAAAACAAGTAGGTAATACGAGTGTGTTCAAAAAGTATCGCGAATTTTGAATTTTCGCGGGTTACGTATATTCGAATTTCGATTTTTTTGTGGCGTTATGTTGGTACTCATGTCTCTCACTTATGCCGACAAGCTCGGCCATTTTGAATGTTCACTTAATTGTTGACAGCTGCTTTGCTTGCACGTGTTTTAGATCGTCTTCGATTTTTACCTATTCAAAAAAATGGATCAAAGAACCTGTATCAAATTTTGTGTGAAAAACGAAATTAAGTGCGCGGATGCATTCCGAATGTTGACTGTGGCATACGGAGAAGCTACCTTGGACCGAAGCAACGTTTATCGGTGGTACAAAATGTTCTCAGAAGGCCGAGAAGATGTGAACGACGAAGAGCGTGCCGGACGCCCGAGCACTTCAACAACAGACGAAAAAATTAATGAAGTGGAGAAAATGGTATTGGCCAATCGTCGAATCACCGTTAGAGAAGTTGCTGAGGACCTAGACATATCGATTGGCTCATGCCATTCGATTTTTATCAATGATTTGGGCATGAGACGGGTCGCCGCGAAATTCGTACCAAAATTGCTCAATTGCGACCAAAAACAGCATCGCATGAACATTGGTAATGAGATGTTGGACTCTGTCCGCGACGACCCAAATTTGCTCCAGAGGGTCATAACTGGTGACGAATCGTGGGTTTATGGTTACGACGTGGAAACCAAAGCTCAATCATCTCAATGGAAGCTGCCGCACGAACCAAGACCGAAAAAAGCGCGCCAAGTTCGGTCGAATGTGAAAGTTTTGCTGACAGTTTTCTTCGATTGCAGGGGCGTGGTGCATCATGAGTTCTTGCCACAGGGTAGAACGGTCAATAAGGAATATTACCTGCAAGTTATGCGCAACTTGCGCGAAGCAATCCGCCAGAAACGCCCGGATTTGTGGAAAAACAAAAATTGGCTTTTGCACCACGATAACGCCCCTGCTCACACATCGTTGCTTGTGCGCGACTTTTTGGCCAAAAACAACACACTAATGATGCCGCAGCCACCGTATTCCCCAGATCTGGCCCCCTGTGACTTTTTCTTGTTCCCTAAACTGAAGAGGCCCATGAAAGGACGACGTTACGCTACGCTTGACGAGATAAAGACGGCATCGAAGGAGGAGCTGAACAAGATAAAAAAAAATGATTTTTTGAAGTGCTTCGAAGATTGGAAAAATCGTTGGCACAAGTGTATATCATTACATATACATACAATATCTCATGGGGATTACTTTGAAGGGGACAAAATAGATATTCATGAATAAATAAATAATTTTTGAAAAAACACAAAATTCGCGATACTTTTTGAACACACGACGTATAAACAAATAGTTTCATTTCCTATGTGTAACAATAGCGACAACCTAAGAACTCGATATGTATATTTCTAGCAAATGCCCACCTTACGAATAAGTGCACAATCACCCTTATACGTTTGTGAGTCCAAATTTTAGGGGATAGTAATTTAGGGTGGATTCGTTTTTAATGAATTAGAAGCTTTATTGGTGAGTTTGGTAAGACGGATATAGAGCCTTATTTATAATGGTATCTACAGACGATGTTTTGCTTTTTTCTTCTAAGACTGTGATTATTGGATGGATGAAACGATGGCATTGAGGTAACACCGTCTGGCGCGTGCTGGCACTGAAAGAGAACTATGCTTGGTAAACTGCAGGGAGTTGCAGCATGCTCCTCATCCTCTAGATTTGAGGTGGTCCTATTATTTATTCATCGATATGTTAACATGTGTTGTCATTTTTTATTTTAACAAGTGGAAGTTACTAATTTTGATACTATCTAGATATTTTGACATTTTAGATAGATAGATAGATAAACACTTTATTCACTAATATAATACTAATACAGATTCAACAAAAATAAAAACGTAACATTGCTGTCATAGCAGTGAAAGGGCGCTGACTCAGCATATGTCAAAGTTGCCAAAAGCGATGGTTTTCAGTCAGAACCAACGAGAGGGGTTAAGTCAGTTGTAAGCAAACATATGCGTAAAGTTATACATTGAAATAAAATACATAATAATGTGTAAATAGTGCATTTAAAATAACCTCTCAGATATGTATGAAGTGCACGGGCGAGTACAAGCAATAAGTACAGCTGTGGGACTCAATTGTATTTGTAAATAGGTTTTAGTGTTATATAATTAATTAATATATATAATGTGAATATATCAAAGCAAAAACAAAATTCCATTCTAGACAGACGTTGGAAAAGAATACAAACACACTACACAGATTTTTGAAGTGAGAGTAGGTGTTGCCGGTACAGAGCTTTGAATTTGGGTTTGGATGTCTCGTTGCGTATAGGTGGTGGAATATTATTCCAGCACTTTGAGGCCGAGTATTTGAAACTACCCCTAAAAGCTGCAGTTCTACGTCGTGGTATCATAAGTACATATGATCGGACAGATCGCTCTCTGTAGCGTACGGTAAGACTAGATGACCAAATTTGTTTTTCATAAAGACATTCAGGTTCACGCTCAAAACATTTTGGTACTTAGACATTATGGTAAATTTGCCAATTTGATACTTGGACATTTTGCATAATTGGTAATTTTGATTGCACTGCACACGTTACCTACCTAAGTATGAACTGAACGACGGAGATATTATCATGGAAAATATTTATTTAATTTTTATTGACTACTTCTCGTTATGTAGTTTAGAGATTTGTGTTCTAAAAAGTGGAACATTTTCAAAACATAAAGTTACATTTAAAATAAATAGCATGAACATTCCATTACCCGAATCTCGTGTGTGCCGACCCGTAGCCGCGCTACGATTGACGTGTGAACGCAACCTGCTGCGAGCTACGCCGTAGCATTTAGGTACGACAGTAATCCTTTATAAGGCAGGGTTGGCACTTTTCTCTTTCAGAAAATCTAAAATTATTATGTCGTCATCCAACGTTGATATCTTGGGTTTTATTTTTCTTTGTTCGATACTATTTATTTAACCGACTTCAAAAAAGGATGGAGATTCTTAATTTGACTGTATTTTTTTGTGTATTTATGCGATTACTCCAATATTTGTGATCCGATTTTGTAGATTCTGTTTTTGTTGAAAAGAAGTATCTCGGTAGTGGTCCGTTTCAAATTTAAACAAAATTTTCCACCTGTAAGGGTCAATTAGCCCAATCAAGGGATGAATCCGGTTTATTAGATTTCACCCACTTTCCGTTAATCGATTTCAATAAAATTTGGCAAATACATGTAATTCAACAAACTTTTGAGGTGAGTTTTTTTACAATAAAGTTATACTTTCATGTGACTTCCAACGCCATATTGATTTTGTCGTGACGTTATAAATTTTGAAATTTTAGAAATCTCTCTTCACGACATTGGAGAGAATATTGAAGAATTCATTTATGCTCCACATAAAACACATATGCTGATTTAGCATTGTCACAGACACAGGACATATTATAAATAATATATAGTGGCAATCCTACTACGAGGTTGTCACACGGTCCACTGGACACGACTGCTGCATTTGGCCGGATTTACACATTGACCAGTATTGCCTGAGCCACGACATAACATTATACAAAATTAATCTTGAAACTTTTTCTTGACGTCAAAGGCCCTTTAAAGGTGGTCGCGCACTCCCTCGTAGTGTCGGTATTTAGCTCGAGCCGAGTGATGTGCGCAGCTAATGGGGGTTCGGGATTAATCCTTCAAAACACTTAATACCCACCACTTGTGCAGGAAAATCATTCATCAAATGCTGTGCGTCTTTTTGAAACAAAAAGTGACGTCGAACGAAAATGTATGGGTTTAACTCAAAAAACTTTTTACGGCACAATATTTTTATGCTGCTCAATAGATGAGCAATAAAATAGAAATATGATTCGAACTTCACAGAAAAAACGGTATTTATCTTAACCCTTAGCTTATTTACCAAATTACCAGAAGTTGTAACAGAACTACACGGTAAACGATTTAAAATTAAATTGCATAATTTGTAACTTACTAAACGCTATTGAAGAATTTTATTTTTACGATATAAAATATAAAATGTGATTATATGTACGTACGTTATATTTTTCAATTCCATTTTTATGACATTTATTTATCAATATTGCACTATATACAGTAAATAATTAAAAATATTTATTATATTTACTTCTTTACTCTCTGATTATAATTATTTTGAGAATGTTAGTTAATGGACAACACGACACACTCCAGTATGTTTATAAGAATTTCGAATGCAGTCGAGTAGTAGTTGTACTCTGCAGGCTCTTAGTACAGTCAGTAACAGCGATGAAATGTAGTCGACGATATCCAAACTTGTTTGGCAGCAGCACATCAACTGCTATTTTGAAATGCAGTTCGTGTGAGTTAGTGCCGGCTCAAAGCTGTGCCTATCGTGTATTACTATTTTGAGGGTAAATGTTACATAATTTGTATTGTTGGTTATAAAGTTGTTGATAGATTATTTATTTATTAAGAAATAGGAACAAAGAAAACTTAAATCTAGACGGCCAAAACTGTAAAATTAGCTTTGGTTTGACCACACAGCGGCTTTTATAACACATTTACGTAATAGGATGTCGATAAGCAATAACGTAACGTGTCAAAAATTGAGATAAAAAATGCTAAATTATAGCTGGTCGTCTCGCTACATTTTACAAATATAAACTAAGTGATTTGAAAACTCCAAACAATATTAGAAAATGGTGAAACTATCACAAAAAAATCTTTAGGCGCCATTTTCTCAAAACTACGATCATGTTTGTGGAAACGTTATTGCTTATCACCATCCGTTTAATATCATAGTTACTACAGACGGTAACACACCAAGCTACACATTGATGGATCTTGTACCGTTGCACTGAAAGCAATATTCGAACAAAAGTGTAATAGTTTGATGTACTGTTGATTGTGCATAGATAAATTATTGTAGTTACCTTTCAACGCCTGTGAGCCTCGGATGACGGTACTTTTTGGAGAACAACAGTCCGCCACCCCACGCAGCCTGTTACACAAAATCACGATACCTGTTATTTTTGCAAGCATAAAATAACATTGTACATATCGAAAGACTATGATATAATTTTGACACCACGATTATAACGCACACACTTAACACAGCCCCGCACTATGCCATGGACACATACGTAGACAACTTACACAAATTACACTCAAACTCACGAGAGAAATTAATATAGGCCATACAAATATTTATCCCGGCCCGGGAATCGAACCTGGGACCTCTGCGTGGCAGTCGTTCGAATGGTAACCGTTCGGCCACAGAGGTAGTTAGTTGCGTTTAAAAATATCTGTTGCCGCTTTCAAACATTCAAACTCACATACTATTTCACTATTTCGTATACTCACATCAACATGCATCCACATGTCGTACTTCTGGCAGATGTCGGCAACCTCCTCCAGCGGGTCAAAAGCTCCCAGCACAGTGGTACCCGACGTCGCGTTTACAAAGAACGGCACCTAACGCAACACAATACGTTACCTTTATTATTTCATTTTCAAATTCAAAATTACGTTTGGGTTTTATAAAATCTACTAACAATCAGTTAATAAAAATATGTGCATCACAACACAACACACGCGATGTCTTTTGCTAGAAATTAATTAAAAAAATATCTTTTCTACATCATCATTAATAACCCATTACACTTCCCGCTGCTAGGCAGGAGTCTTTTTCAAGGTGAGGATATCTGCCACTAGCCTAATGAGGTTCGGGGACTGTACACGCTTCCCAAGGGTAGTGAACCCTCTTCGGCATGAAGGTTTCTATGTCTTTTTTTATGATATCAAGTCACGGTACGTGTACAAGTCACGTACGGTAACGACGAATGGTAAGTGACACGCCTGTCCACAACAGTTGCAGTGCCACTCAGAGCTTTGAAACACAAAGATCCGAGAAGCTCTGCCAATACGCCTGTCACCCTGAGACATAACTTGTGCCTGTAATTTCACCAGCACCTTTTCCCTTCAACACCGGAACGCAGTAATGCTCACATTACAGCTTGGCGGCAGAAATAGGTAATGTAGGCAGTACTTCCCTGGAGGCAACTAATTATTTATTCCTCGGAATTGCAACAATGTATAGTTAGGTAAGAAGTTCCAGATACTCACATGTCCGCGGTCCTTGTGGTACCGCACGAGCCGCTCGAGTTCAGTTGGGATCATGCGCCCACGCTCGTCCGAAGGCACAGCAATGCAGTAATCCGTGCCTAGACCGCATACAGATGCGCAGGATTTGACAGAGTAATGGCACTGTAAGGTAACGCTTGATTAGAATTCAAAATCCTTAAGGTAAATATGGACCGTAGTCCACGTTTTCATTAATCATCAAGAGATTGAGATGGAGAGGCACGAAATTAGCCTCTGCGTGCTTTCTTTCTTGTTTGTCTGACGCATCCCGGGCAACAATTGGCAAGTATCTTACGCCGCCTGGCAAATTCTTTCACCATGATGGCAAGCAATATAGTGTAAGGCATCGATACGATAAGAAGAACGAAATTGAATAATCTCAGCACAGAGTACTAAAAAAACCGACCTCAAAAGTCGTTCATGCCCTAGATTACCACCCTTACAGGTGGAACATTTTCTTCAAAATTAAATAGGACCAATACTGAGGTACCCTCTTTCTAACAAAAAAAGAATAATCAAAATCGGTTCACAAATGCCGCAGTTATCGCCTAACAAACATACAAAAAAAACAGTCGAATTGAGAACCTACTTCTTTTTTTAAAGTCGGTTAAAAATGTTATCCTTCTTAAAATTTCAAAAAGAATTCTATCTTGGGTGTCGTATTAAGCGACTAAAGGATTATAGGAAGTAAGGTCTCCTTAGTAGCAGCAGTGTCGATACCATTGCCAAAGCGTCTGCCAAATTTAATAATTACAGGTCCAATTTTTGAGAGCTATGTAGACAATGTGTTGTGATAATGCTGATTGGTATTGGTTATTTTAGTGTACTCCTTATTCATTCACAGATATATAAAGCTATGTTCTGTAGTTCATGTAATATAGGGCAAAATAGTACGAAGTATGGACCTTGTCTTGCAAACCACAAAAAAATAACAAGTGTATATGTCGCCATAGTTTTCGTTAGTTTTTCTAAATGTTTACCAGTAAATAAAGCTGCCTATAACTGAGGTCTCGTTTACCTGGTCAGAGGTGAACATGACGAGTTGTCCGGGGATGCTGGTGAGCCCCTTCTCCTTGTACTGCGGGAACTTGTGGTGTCGCGCCGCCAAAAACGCGTACAGGTTCGACACCGAACCGCCTGATGATGATGATAAAGATCAATCAATAAATATTCTCAATTCATTAAATAACAATGTTATTTTCCTGTTTGGAAGAGTTATGTATGAATAAATAACTCTTTCGATCAGGCAAGGAACTGGTAAAGGGGTACGAGGTTACCAGGTCAGCTGTATAGTTCGACTGTAAGTCGTTCAGGATTTAGTGTAATTTTGCTAACTGGCTTGGTCTCCATTACCATATTATTGTAAAGGCATCTGATTTCCATAGTACATACATACCTTTACCAAATTTCAAGTCTATGGGAGACTTGGATCTAACATGAACCATCCCGATAAAATTAGATCACTTTGCACACAATTAGAGCAGTCCATCCGTTTGGAAGCTACCATACCACAGACACATACACGAATACACAGACAAAGGCTTTAACTAATAACTCCCCTCTTTTTGCATCGAGGGTTGATAATAAATTTTCTAATATATGAATATTATACGTACATACCGCACCTCCAGTAAAACACAGGCGTAACTGCAAAAAATGTGACCCCAAACCATTTTCATAATGCAATTTACACCGAAAAAACAGAGACGCATTAAGCATTCCTTAATTTTTCTACAGAGGGCGTAATGCGTATTAAAATAGTGTAAAATTTAAGAGCTCTTCAAATGTGTTCAGTAGCCCTAAATACAAAACTTTTAATTCATTTTTAGTAAATTTTTCAAATGTAAGTTGTCCCTGTTTCACCGGAGGTGTGAATACGTTGTTTGTTGTTTCTCTACGTGTACACATACATATACATACAGCAATGTACGCGTGAGTCAATTGCTGCTCAAGTTCGAGCGAAATCTTACCTGGTGCAAGGATGGAGTCTCCTGTCTTCCACCCGATCATGTCCCGCATCTTTTCAAGCACGACGTTTTCCATCAAGATGAAGACAGGCGCGATCTCGTACGTGAACATGTTGGTGTTGGCGGCTGCCGTCAGCCATTCGCCGGCGAGGGAAATGATGTCCAGCCCGCAAGAGAGTTGGTTGAAAAAGTGGGGGTGACCTGGGGCGAACGTTTTGGTTTTAGTAACATTTTCCATTCTTTTTTGCGCCAAAGTAAGTTCGTTACTTAAAAAAAACGTATTATATTATAAACTTGCCACCTTCAGTGAGCCGTAATAAGTAGCCGAGGGGGTAAATGTACAATATTAAAAAACCTTGTTTATTCCATATATATGTAAATATGGCAGAGACATTGTTAATCAAAAAAATTAGAACTTTTCTATTCCGCAACATAGCAAAAGGACCCAAAAAGTCTTCAAATTTATAATCCCATATAAAAATTCAATCTCCGTTCAAGCAAATTTCAAAATTCGCTCAGCGTAGATGAAAAAATCTGAATTTTATGACGTCATTAGCCATAAAGCGCCATGTTGGCCATTTTGGCGGCAACAGCCGCCATTTTGGATCCGCCATTACGTTGGCTTAATGTTTGAGATCGAGGAGGTGTTTTATGAAGGAATAGCGTTTTATGATGCTAATACAAGAGATATATTGCAAGCTGTAAATTTGTCTTAGTAAAAGAAATTATGAATTAGGTAATTGTAATGCTTAAAAGTATTGCTTGTTTGTATTCTTGCTGACGTGAGCGACATCCATTTTATTAGAGCGTTATTGAAGACAAAGCTCAATGTTGGTTTTTATAATTGATTGAGAACAATGTAATATTTAGATAATAAAATAAAGAAAAAATACTTTTTTATCTATATCAACATAATAATCTAGTGCTAAATAACATATTTTTAACAAAACTGGCTAGATTTTATAGTGTTGTGTGACGTGTCTCACTTTGTTCCAATAAAACTAACACATAAACGCATAAAAGAGTAAATACAATTGTCAGCTATAACGTTGTCTCAATGGTAGTAAATATTTGTAAAAAATCCACCAAAATTATTTGCAAAAACGCAACTGACACTAAAAGCCGCAAATGGTTTTCCAAATATCATTTTGTCCGAATGTCCGGATTATCCGGAAATAATCCTCCGGTGTAACAGCGCGCGACATTACATCCGGTCCGGACACAAAAGGAAAACATTATGTATCCGCGGTACGGTAACATAAAAGGACACATTTGAAGAAATGGGATCACAAAGACAAAACTGGAGTCTCGGCCTAGGCTAGATTTTATTATGACGTAGAGTAGTAAGTAGTAGGAAGCAGTAATTTCGTAGCAGTATAGCTCCTTGTGAGAGAGTTCGCCCAGGGAAGTACTGCCACCTATCCCATTGCTGCCGACAAGTAGTAATGCTTATTGCGTTCCGGTTTCGAGGGGTACTTCAGGATGCTGGTGAAATTACAGGCACATGGGACTTGTCAACTTATGTCTCAGGGTGAACGACGGGCGATTAATTTAACCTGGATTTAAACCTCTGAGTGGCACTGCAACAGTTATAGACAGTCGTGTCGCTTACCACCAGGTGCACGACTTGTTCGTCCCGTCACTTGATATCATAAAAATATGATGGTTATTCCGTCATGTTGACCCCGAAAGCTTGTGAACAGTCTTCGAGTCGCAGGGTTCATCACAACGTTTTCCTTCACTATTACCCAGAGGTAGCTACTACTAAACAATAAAAAAACCATACTACTTTGCATTTAAAAGGCAGCCTTTTTTGTCCCTAATAGAATTATCTGTGTTGAAACAGATTGTATGCCACATTTATTAACTTTAAATCTACCCTCATTCTTAACAGAATTAAATCAAACCCAATGCATCCTCTGTACACAACGCAAAAAAGTGTCAAATGATAAACTGAGGGGGCGCTACAGAAGGGGCGCTATTCCCGGGGGGCGATTTATCGCGGGCCGCAGATGGGGCGCAAATATTGTTAAGCTTGGCTGAGGGAATTTCAATTAGCTGCATTGTTGGAATTTGGGGTTTAAAATTGTAATTACGCGAGTTTCAATATTTGAAACATCACGTCACTACTGGAGAGGGATTACCCCACAGTCCATCAGGTTGACTCAATGCGGTTTGGAAGCTTCACTTGACTGGAATTTTATCTCCAGTGTAGCAAAATTTGGCAGTGTGTCGGACACTAATAGGAGGGCTGATGGAGCAGACCTGTTCTAGAGTGGCGATCCCGTTAAAGCAAACTTAGTGTAGGACGCCCTGCGGCAAGATACGAGACGGATGACCTGAGAAAGGTGGCCGGCAGAGCTGGGTGCGGGCGGCACAGGTCCGGAAGAGTTGACGTGCTCAGGGGAAGGCTTATGTCCAGTAGTGGATGCGTGTAAGCTGATGTAGGTAGGTGGAAATAAAATCAGTTTTTGCAATGTATCAAAGTCAAAGTCAAAGATTATTTATTCCATAGGTGAAATAAATTTACACTTGAAAACGTCACATTTAAGCTACTGCTCGTTCACTACGCTAACCTCCCTGAGAAGAACGAACAAGAAACTCTAGGAATTGCTCTTTTCAAATAAACTTAAATGCTATGGAATACACTTTGAATCAAATTTGTGTGAATTCTGGAGCCGTGTCGTCTTTCCATACATCTTTATCTAACACGTAGTCTTCAATTTTGTAATATGATTTTTCGATCAAAATATTTTTAATGTAGTTTTTAAACTTAGGAAATGATAAACTTAATATATGCTCCGGATCAAATCAAAATTACTGTTATACCATAAAAAGATCTGCCGTTTGCTCGTGCTTAAATAAATGCTAAAATATGTCAAAAATAGACGAATACAAAAAAAATAAGTTTACCACCACTCTTGGAATAGTTTCCGAATGAATGACAAATTTTAAAGAAAACAGTTTGGTCCACCGGTTTGTTTTTGTTTACTCGCTTAACTTAATACTTCAAATTTATATTACTAGACATTACTTCCCACGCATGTGAGACCAGATATCGCTGGAGTACGACTTAGGCGGTGGTACGACTAACGCAACCTTACCCCATAATAGCAATACCTGAAGTTAACGCTGAAGGGATCACGATGAAATCTGCTGCATGTCGAAGAAGGCCTACGACCTCCGGAAAACTAAATCAATGGCTCAAGAGAACGTTGCCCATAATCTTGGTCTAACAAAAAAAGCATTCTTCTAACTACATTATCACTTTCGCTCCCCTAAAAAAATAAATATACATATAAAATATGTACGGGAAACGTTTCCTATCAGATACTAAACGTTTTATCAAAAGAGAGGCGCGTGCCAATGCCACAGATAAAAATTATCAAACCCTATACGTCCCGCTACTGCGCACGGGTCGAAACAAGGGCGAGATAAGAAGTATAAAAATAATAAACAGAGCTTTACTCGTTGGGAACGGTTAGAGTCGATGTAGGGATGAAAACAAAGAGGTTGATTGGCTTTTAAAATAGATATAACATGATATTTGTGTATTATACTGAGTGAAAACTTAAAGGTGTACCAATATTAGCAATGTGTGGATAATGTTGCAGATTGTATGTGTACTTATGTTAGACAATTTCACGAGGAATGCAATCATACCATGTACAATTCTTTGTTATCCCTTAAAAAAATACGCATCATCAACAATCATTTTATACTGCCCACTGCCGGGAACAGGTCTCCTTTTACAAGAGGGTTTAGGGGATGCTGCGCTACATTGGCCCTGTGTGGGTTGAGGATTTTTTCACACTTTTTCCATTCTTTAATATACAGTTTCAACATTTCATGTAATCAACTCTCAACTTTAAATCCTTAATTGACACGCCACTGATCTCCAGTTGGGCTACCTACGCTTTTCTTGTTTATAGTTGTGGAGCTTTCTCAGCCTGTTTATTCTAATAATAGATATTTTCTGACCTTTAAGTTTTATGATTGTACGTTTCCCTTCTTTAAATATAAATAAACTTTTATTGTACTACTTTTGAAAAGTGTTACGACATATTCTTATTACAGCCTGTATAGCTAAAGATTCTTTTAGAATCTCACATAAGATATTTACAGTACACTAGTAGACATAGTCTGCTTTAATAAACATGGAAATTTTACAACCGCCACACAGGGAAAGACTGCTACCTATCTCTAGCTACGATACCAATTGGGGTGGTCATATAGCAACTAGGCATATAAATAGAATCTTGCATATACTAATCCGTCAAAGCATAACCCTAAGTAATCAATAACAAAACAATTGGAACAACAATTACGACTATGGAGAAGTCAGATGGAAAATTGGTTTTTCAATTTTGTGTTCAAAATTGAGCGGTGTAGGGTTTGAAATTGGGGTTCTTTAAGAATCATTTGAGGGCTTGTTTGGATAAGGGTCGGTATATCAAAATTACGGTACAAACATTGAGTCAGTTGAGCTACACAAAATTAATTATATAGAAAGTTATTCTGGTTGTTTGTTTTTTATATGTAAAAAGATTTTATAAAATTACAATGAAATCATCCTTACATGAAACTGAGTCAATCAGCGTTAAAAAAAAAATTAATCAATTTTATTCATTAAAAACTCACTCTTTTAAAAAAATTGACTATGCAAATATTGTTTTTACTTGTATCTTCTACGGTTTCTGATTTCCGCACAATATCTCAGATTAAAAAACCACACTGTGTGTTATTTTAAACATGTTATGGAACACGTAAGTTTTACGACATGTATTATTAAACATTTTTTAATAGACTTTAAAAAAGGAGGAGGAGACTCAATTCACCTGTATTTTTTTTTGTTGTTGGAAAGAGGGTACCTCAGAAGTGGTCTCATTTAAATTTGAAGAAAATATTCCACTTCTAAGGGTAGCAAATTAGGGGATGAATGACTTTTCAGGTCGGTGTTTTTAGTACTGTGTACCGAGATTATTTTAATTCGGTTACACTGGCTCACACACCAGGCGGTAACCATATTTTATAATAAATATTGCAAAAGATTAACGTTCGCAAATCTCTATTTGTAAAGTTCAAACTCTAACGTTTCTATTTTTTCAGAGGAATTTGTCTTACGTACGAGTTAGTGCTTAATTAATTGCATTTCAATTTATTTCCCTAAAAATTTAAATATATTATTTTTATACGCTAAC